AGTTGGATACAGTGGTGATAAGGGTGCGTTGTGTTCCAGGGGGGGGGGGTAGCGACCTCGCGGGGGGGGGGGGGGGGGGGGGGGGGGGGGGGGTGGGGGTGGGGGTGGGGGTGAGGGTAAGGGTGAGGGAGGCGGCGGAGCAGTTATTACCATGATACTACTGCCTAACCTTCGGGGGCTGAGGGCCTCGTTCTATCACTCGGCGAATGTGAAAATGGCGGATGCCTCTGGACGCATTCTATGGGAAGATACAGTCGCCATTTTTATATATATTGCTGTCTAGCCTTCGGGGGCTGAAGGACTCGTTCTATCACTCGCCGAATTTGAAAATGGTGGATGTCTCTGGACGCATTTTATGGGAAGATACAGTCGCCATTTATATATATATATATATATCGTCACAAACAGAACTGCCCGGTAAACCGTAGGCAGAGAGATAGAAGAGGACAACAAACGAGTATATATATATATATATATCGTATATATCTATATATATACATATATCGTCATATATATATATATCGTATATATATATCAGTGGCAGAGTGAAATGGGACCGAAGTCCATGCAATGCCAACACCTTTGAACTTCGGAATTGCTCGCTAAATATCAAAATGGTCAGATGTATCTGGATACGTTCTACCGGAAGATACACGCTTTTGTAAAGGAACGCCGACGAGGCGCTGAAAACGAATTGAAGAGCGACCGGAAAAAAAAAAAAAAAAAAAAAAAAACTGTGCGACCTGAATGAAGATCTTCCTTTTTCTCTTCGTACAGTTCAGAAAATCGATCTATTATAAAAATAAAGAACAAATCGGTCTATTAAAAAAAAAAAATTAATCGATCTATTAAAAAAATAAAAAAAATCGATCTGTTCACGACATCTATAAATATATACACGCATCAACTGTTGAAATGCAGACCTGAGTTCACACACACACACACACACACAAAAAAAAAAAAAAAACGCCTTTTGGATTCTGGGACCGACCCGACGGTCGTAACCACATCAAACTTTTTTTCTTTGTTTTTATTTTTAGGTCATAACGACAAAGAGATTATACAATCAACAAGGAGTAGAAATGAGGGAGGAGGGGAGAAACGAGGAGAGCGAAAGGAGGAGAAAGCAATACTGAAAACAGTCAGTGGCAATACATAGACTGCTTCTCGTACAAGCATATCGATACATAGATCTGCATTTAACTACTTTTCCGCATCATGTACAGTTTCCAACTTTCCAGTATGCAAAGCGCAATTTCCTCAAAGAAAGAAGAAGAAAGGAGGAGAGAGAAGTAGAAATGAGGAGAAGGACAAACAGAGAAGCGCAGAAAGAAGGAACAGAAAAGTAGAAAGGAGGAGGGATTAAAAAAAAAAACAAAAAAAAAGAGAGAGAGACACGGAGAAAGGAGGAGAGCGTAGGAACACGCACGAAGAAAAAAAAAGAAAAGCGACGCCCAAAAAAAAAAAAAAAAAAAAAAAAAAAAAAAAAAAAATTAAAAAAGAAAAGAAAGGGAGACACGAATAGAGAAGAGCAACGCCCAAAAAAAGAAGAAAAAAAAAAAGAAAAAAAAGTCAATGACTAGAAAGATCAGGAATGCTGCCTCTTCACGGAGTCCGAAGACGTCAAGTCATAACCATAACAATGGTAAAACAAAGAAAAGAAGCACACGGCTATGCTCATAGGTCCAACGCGCAGGTTAAGGAGTAAAAGGAGGAAGGAGGAGGACAAGGAGGAGAAGGAGAGATAAGGAGAAAGACGACGGAGAAAGAAGGAGAAAGAGAGCGCGGGACAAGAGGGGCGGCGGAGATGGCGAGGCGGCGGCGGAGATGGTGGGGCGGTGGCGGAGATGGCGGGACGGCGGCGGAGATGGCGGCCCTGGCATAACCTCACCGTGAATGTATCGGACGGGAAAGACAGCTCGTATACCCCTTTAGGATGGAGGTGCGTTGGATTCGGGTGACCACGGTTAGGGCTTCTTCTTCTTCTGATTACCTGGTGTCCAGCAGCTAGCGAAGATCTCCCGATCTCTCTCTCTCTCCGGATCTCGCCGACGTCGACTGCGGAAAGGAACTGGCGACAAGAGGAAGACAGAGGACGACAGTCTTAAAATGTAGAGTCGGATTTTCGGTTTTGTTTCCTTTTTCTGTTCTTTTTTCGTCTTTTTGTTTTCTTTTTCTTTTTTTTTCTTTTTTTTTTCTTTTTT